AAGCTTTAATATTTCAAAATACTGAAAAAAGCAAGGTGTTCTGCATATAATTTCTGCAGAAATGTAACAACGACAAAGATACTGTGCATGTTGTTTCTGACACTAAAATTTACATTAAAATCCTGTCTTCATCATTAGCAGCTGCTGGTAAGTGTTAGAATTGTTTCAAGTATACAATATTTACAAGTTTAACAGTACTTCTCGCTGGAAACAGATTTATCAGTCAGAACTCAGTTTGCATTGGTATTATTTGCATAACCTATTTTTCCTCAGTGTTCTTATTGTACACTGCAGTATCCGAGAGAGTCTGACGTCTTCTTTCGCTAAAAAAAAACCTGGCATGTTATCGTTCGAGAAATATCTTTGTATGCTTGCAAAAGAAAGAACGGCTTATTCTAAAAACGTAAATACTGAACTGAAAGTTGTAAAAAATTGAGAACAGAAATTCATCTCCCAACTCCATACCTTGGATCCCTATGAGACCAATTAAAGTTTTCTATTTAGCCAATTAATTCATTTAGCTTCCTTTCCTTTTTCCCCAATAGCGTAACTCCATGCTCCACTACATAAACACACATAAAATCTCCTATAATAAAATACAACATCACAAAGTCAGTGTAATTTGTAATTTTAATTTGAAAACAAAATGAAATGTATGTATGTATGTAAGTGCAGTGCAGTGCAGTGCAGTACAATACGATCCTCCTATTTGAACTGACGAATGGAGGGCTAACACTCGAAACATCTGCTTAAAAACACGCTAGGGTGGTTATTTTACCTTCATCAACTTCAATATGGTTACGGGGGGAGGGTGGGGTGCGATTAGCTCTCTTACCCTTCATTCATATTACGATACTAGGGTTTCCGTTCTCCTAAGGAGGCGCGGTGGCCTCTTGGTTATTGCGCTCGACTCCGGATCGAGCGGTCCGGGTTCGAGCTTTGGCCGGGGACATCTCTATTGGTGGTGGGCTGTTTTCGGGCTGTCTATAATGTNGACAAAGATACTGTGCATGTTGTTTCTGACACTAAAATTTACATTAAAATCCTGTCTTCATCATTAGCAGTTGCTGGTAAGTACGGTTAGAATTGTTTCAAGTATACAATATTTACAAGTTTAACAGTACTTCTCGCTGAAAACTGATTTATCAGTTAGAACTCAGTTTGCATTGGTATTGCATACTTATTCAAGCTTTCCTCAGTGTTCTTATTGTACACTGCAGTATCCGAGAGAGTTTCAAGTCTTCTTTCGCTAAAAAAAACCCTCACATGTTATCGTTCGAGAAAAATCTTTCTACACTTGCAAAAGAAAGACCGGCTTATTCTAAAAACGTAAATTTTTAACTGAAAGACGTAAAAAATTATCAGGAACAGAAATTCATCTCTCAACTCCATACCTTAGTTCCCTATTAGACCAATTAAAGTTTTCTATTTAGCCAATTAATTCATGTATTTTCCTTTCATTTCTCCCCAATAGCGTAACTCCATGCTCCACTACATAAACACACATAAAATCTCCTATAATAAAATACATCACAAAGTCAGTGCAATTTGTAATTTTAATTTGAAAACAAAATAAAATGTATGTATTTATGTAAATGTATGTATGTATGTAAGAGCAGTGTAGTACAGTGCAGTACAATACGATCCTCCTATTTGAACTGACGAATGGAGGGCTAACACTCGAAACATTTGCTTAAAAACACGCTAGGGTGGTTATTTTACCTTTATCAACTTCAATATGGTTACGTAGGGTGGGTGGGGTGCGATTAGCTCTCTTACCCTTCATTTAAGGAGGCGCGGTGGCCTCTTGGTTATTGCGCTCGACTCCGGATCGAGCGGTCCGGGTTCGAGCTTTGGCCGGGGACATCTCTATTGGTGGTGGGCTGTTTTCGGGCTGTCTATAATGTAAAATCTCAAGAAGAACTCGGCGCAACTTCTTCACACGCCAAAAGAAAATGATAGGGTTGCAAAGAGATCCTAGAAGACTAAATGTCACCACCCAATTCCAGATAACGCTTAACATATGCGGCCCTAAAATGTCTTTCGAATAATATGTAACTAAAATAAGAACTACAGAGGGAGTATAAGTTATTACTAATGTAACCAGAATAAGTGTTAAAGTGTTGGCCGCTTTGCTTTCTTTCTTCAGTCTTTTAGCTTCTTCTTCGGGCAGCTGTTCGGTTTGCAGTCGTTTTTTCTGACGTCGCGATTCTGAGAAAATATAGCAATAGGTGTAGCTGATAACAACAATGGCAACCAAGGCGAGCACTGACAGTATGACATAGTTCACCTCCATGTAGAGAAAGTAAAGATCTGTTCCATTGTCAATAACAGCCAGTGTAAGTTCATGAATAGTTACAAAGAGTCCAATGGCCCAGACCAAAAGAAGACCAGTTTTAATCCGCTGTTTGGTGACAATGGTCGTGTACCTCAAGGGATGTTTGATAGAAATAAAGCGATCAATGCTTATCAACACAAAGTTGCCCAAAGAAAGAAAGAATCTTCCTATCAGTGCGACAGCGCTAGCCTTTTCCAAGCTACAGAATGGTCCGTCACTAAAGATACGCGTCAGTGCTACCGCGATTCCTATGTCTTGAACAACCAGCCCAATCAGTAAGTCTGTCCCCGCTAGCCCCGCCACAAGCAGGTTTGACTTTGATCGCAGTCGGTGCCTTGTTACGACGGCTACGATAACCAGCGCGTTTAACAGAATAGTCGGAAAGACTGCCAATAAATTGATCACAGTCACAGCAATAAGATTTGGATACGTGACATCGGTCAAGTATTCCAGTCTCCAAACAAAGCCATTCATGTAAGGACATTCTTCATTCGTGGATGGTGAA